TCATCGACCGCTACGGGCGCGGCGAGGCGCCGCGGCTCGCGCGCGACATGGCGCTGCCCGCCATCCGCTTCCCCAACGAGGTGGTGATCCGCGTGCACGCCGCCAGCCTCAACCCCATGGACCTCAGCATGAGGAGTAAGTGCCGCCGGGCGCGGCCCGCGGGCAGCGAGAGGCGCCGGCCCCGCAGACGGGGCCGCGGGGGTGCGCGCCCCGCGGTGGCCGCTGCCCGCCGAGCGGTCACGGGTGGTTGTGGCTGCGGTTGTGACAGCGCCGGCGTCGCAGCTCGGCCCCGCTGCCCGCAGCAGCCCTGGGGGGGCTTCACCCCCGGCCTGGCCCCCGTGCACGGCCCCTTGGCGCTGCTGCCCTGCCGCTGGCGCCAGCGCTGCCCCTTCCCGGGAGAGCGGCTGCCCGGGAGCCGCTTCCCAGCGCCTGGCAGCCGCTTCCCAGCGCCTGGCAGCCTCAAGGTCACCCGCAGCTCGGCCTCGGCCCCCGGTGCGCCGCCGCTTCCCAAGGTGCCGGCCGGGTGGCTCTCGTCAGGCGGCCCTGGGGAGCTGCATGCTCGCTCAAAACGTGCCAAGCACCAAAAAAACAATCACAGTTTGCCCTCAGCTTCAAGTTGGGAAAAATGCTAAGGAATTTGCAGCTTCTGAAGGGCTTGCATTTCATGTTGAGAAGTGACGTTGTACATGGGCTATACTCAATAGCCCGTGCACGGATACCTGCAAGAAGCCTGCTGCCAGAGCTGTAGTTCGGTTTTGGGGTCTGCAGTAAGTTATTTTTAAAATAGCCTTTTAAACTGTTTACAACTCTGGGTTTGATCATGCAGCATTTCCCATATCGGGGATACTGGGTCACACCTTGTGTTTTGTGTCTGTAAAAGAAACCATGTTCTCATGCTGCTTTTGAGGTGCTTCCATTCGTATCTTTATGCACCTTTTAGTTTGATGAGAGAAAAAGGCCTCCTGTAACGTTTGGAAAGCCACACGTGTCTGAATGCAGGTTTGTAAGCTGAGCAGAATTCCCACGTGCACAATCTAAGGATTGCCTCGTCAGCAGAAGCGAACGTGTCTCCTCTTAGGATACGTTCCTTTCTTTATTTTTTACATTGCTTATGTTTCTGTGTTAAGTTGCCCTAAGGCCTTCTGCCTTAAGTTGCCTTAAGGTGAATGGAAAGCTTGGAGTTCTTTTGCATTCCTGTGATATCGTTAATCCATGAAGCTTTTCTTACAGGCTTCTTAAAATATGTATTCCTTCATATTGGAAATTTTACAGTAAGATGTTTTGTGTGGACTCTAATAAGATGGTATAATTTGCTACGTAGTTTTTTAGTGATTTTTATTCTTATGCATACTGGATGCTATATAAGGGAGGAAAAAGAGGTAGAGTTAAAAAGTTAAAAGAGTTAAAATTTGCTTTTTATTTTTAAAATCTGTAAAAATGCAAAACATTCCACATTGTTGGCATGCACTCAGTAAGATGTGCTATGATTAATTTCGTGTTTTGTAGGTGGTTATGGTGCCACTGCTTTAAATATGAAGCGGGATCCCCTGAAACTGAATAGTGCAGACAGTGAATTTCCACTGACGCTCGGCCGAGATGCCTCCGGTGAAGTTATGGAATGCGGACTAAGTGTGTCTTATTTCAAACCTGGAGATAAGGTGATAAAACTCATTTCCCTTGTCTGTCTTTCTGTCTATATCTTTTTCCATAGCTAAAATATAATATGAACTGTTCAGGTTTCATTTTCCTCTGAAGATTTTCTTTTTTTCATGATGCTGCGGGCATTGTTGAATATCATGTCAAGACTCCTTGGAATGCTCTCTTCCCGATCTTCTTTCTCTTTAATAAATAAAAAGAAAAATCACGTTTTCCTAAACTTACTTCCTTCAGTTGCTTCACTTTTTGTTTTTTGGTCCATTTCTGTGGTCAGAAAGAGAAGAATTTACTTTTTTGTAGCTATGAAAACTCAAGATACTGCTTCAGTTTGACTGAAGATAGAATTCCAACAGGAAGGGAGGTTGTTATTTTTGTTTGTTTGTTTGTTTTTCCTCCTTGAGCAAGGTAATTAATAATAGAAGGAACTCTAACACAGCCAGAGAATTAATTCTTAACTCCTTCATAAATGTTTTACTTTCAACTTCTTAGCCTCAGTATAGCAAATTTTGCTTCTGTTTCCTCTTTGCCTTTTTAGAGAATATACCTACTGTGCACAGAGAGCTTGTTCAGGCCTCTCAGTATCATTTAATTAGGCTTCTCATACTTCTTGTGTAAATAGTAAGATAAATTGGTATCTGCTAAGCAGTAGATTAGACATTTTGCAGACTGGGAGGAGGTTGTTTTTTTTTGTTTTTTTTTTTTTTTTTTTTAAATAAAGCTTCTCTTTGTAGATGCAATGTTATGTGAAACAGCCAAAAATGATAGTTGTTTTCCCTTTGTTTTTAGGTATGGGCAGCAATTCCTCCGTGGAAACAAGGCACCTTGTCAGAGTTTGTTGTAGCTAGTGGAAATGAGGTAAGCCTTCAAAAATGCAGTCAACAGACAGAATCTAAAATTGTTAATACTGGCATTCTTTTTTCTTCAGTGTCTAAATAACTGACTTTTTTAATGGTTAAACTGATTTTCATCATCTTTTGCTAATCTTGAATAATCTTGAAAGTGTGGAATATGGATCAGAACAATTCAGTAGAGCCTGTTTAAGAATTTTGGTGGTGTGTAGGATCCTCTCCGTGACTTGCATACAACTGGTCTTATTTCAGGTGTCTTTTAAGCCCAAATGCCTCAGTCACACAGAAGCTGCCTCCTTACCCTATGTAGGTCTCACAGCATGGTCTGCAATTAATAAAGTTGGAGGACTAAACAAAGAAAATTGTGCTGGGAAGAGGTAAGTAACTAGTTCTGGTGCTAAAGCTTAGTTTTTGATAGTTTTTCATTTTTACACTGCTTAGCCACTTGCAAGACAAGTCTGGACAGCGATGAAGACTGTAATAACATGACAGTTACAAAGGCTGGGTGGCCTGAAGGTGCTGGGTTCATTCTACATGACAACTGAGAGAAGCTGTAAGTGTTTCTAGTAGAAAATTGAAGGAGAGTGTCCCTGGGAATTTAGGGGGACTCTGCCTTGCTGCGAGACAGGCCACTTGTCCAAATCATAGAATCACAGAATCCTTGAGGTTGGAAGGGACCTTTAGAGATCATCTAGTCCAACCCGCTGCACACACAGAGTTACCAAATTTATCCCCTTTGAGTTATCTGGGCAACTCATAAAAGTTCTGTCATCCACAGAAATGTGGTTCCCTGGATTGCATGTTCCTGCATGTTCTGGATCCTCTGGATCAGATAGGTCACCCACTTGGAAAGGAAGGGAGAAGGTGCCTGGGCTTCATTTGGCCTGTGGGCCAGAACCTTGATGGGATCAGAAAAGGCAAAAGAGAAGGGGAAAAGGAGAAAAATGAAGAAATGTTCAAGACTAATAGCCAAAGCAAATAGAAAAAGAGGATTTTTTTTTTTTTTTTTATCAGCCTGTTAATCTGGGAAAGGCAGGTGGAAAGCAAAGGAGGAAAAAGATTCTGAAAAATAGGAGCAGATACCATTATTTATCTCATAGTTGAAAATTTCCTGGTAATTTGAAATTTATTTTGGCCTTGAGATGTTTGTCTAACAGCAAAACATTCAGAATGGAAAGAAGTCAAAAGTAAAAATAGTGGAATTGAAAAATAATCATTAAAACTACTACAATATATCAGAAATTTAGATTATATTAAAAAAAAAAAGAAGGTTGGACGTTAGGAATCTGCTTGTTTGACTTATTTTGGGGTTGATGTTGTTATGCAACACATTGTGAAGGAGAATAGATTCTATGAAAGTCTTCATATCTGTAAAATATGTGAATGCTTGTTGGTGTGTCACAGTAAATTTCATTGTGAAAATATAAAGGAAGCATTTTTCTGAAGATTAAAAATATATTTTGAAGAAATGAATTGCAGACATCTTTGGAGTTAACTTGCACCTAGTAATAATTTTCTAGATTTGCCATCTGTTTTTTTTCATTTTTCAGTATTCAGGCTGTCTTCTGCAATCTTATTTTTTCCCATATAAATATAACTGACGTAAAGATATGTTGATATGCTAACCATTTTTTCAAGTGTCTTTACAATGTTCATGTGTTTAGATTTTTAAAAGTAAAATGTAAATGGATAAATACTTCATTAGTGTATCAACAAAACATTTTCATGTATTTAAAAATTTTATGATGTTTCATATCTTGAAAGTTTAGGTTTTGAATCCAGCAGACAATGGCTTATGTGGAGGTGTTTACATATACATATGTAATGCACTGAAGTGAGTCTGGGAAAGACTGTTTTATGACCTTTACCTTACTCTTCCAAGACAGTAATCTCATAGAGCAAGAATGTACATAGCTTTTTTTTTAATTTCTTGAAATAATTTAGTATCTAATTGGTAAGAAGCTACCCCCATATGTGATTTTGTGGTCTTTTTGTCTCCCATAGGTGTATGTATATAACTGTGTAAAAGGGTGTATGCACCCTTGTCTCTTATTAATGAAAGAGCATCTGTATTCCTTGATGAAAACTACTTCAATGATGCTTTATTGCAGTGCTAGGACATCTTAGACACAGCAAGATTTTTGCATTGGTGTGTATTGCTTTCTTTGCCTCTTCAAGGTGGAAGGGTGGGCTAACCAGAAATACTCTCCACGAGTCCGACTGTATTCTGACCTGACAGAAATGTCCCCCGCATTAGCACGTACAGTCAGATGCTGTTTCTGCAAGTTTCATGACCCCGTAGTTACCTGAAGTGTCTTCAAGTTGTTCATGATGCCTTCTACTTGGCTACAGCTCTAGTCATTCCCTAACTTTTATTCTACTGCCACTTATATCAGTATTTCTGCACAAGCTAAAAGTGAATGTTCTTGTTCAAGGTGTTTGTACTGACTGTGCTGTTGAGAAGCTCTCTGTGGATGGCTCCCAGGGGGCTTCTTGTTTTTGTGAGGATCCTCTGTCAGCAAAAGGATGTTCTCCTTGGATAATAGCTGGCTTAAGTGTCTTGCTTGTTGTAGTCACAAAAAGAACAACTAAAAAAAATCAAGCGGTTTGAAAAGTTCTCATTTTTTGCATTAATAATAAGTAAATTCCTTTATTTTTATATAAAAATATTGAGTGGACAGTTAATACATATAAGAATAGCAGGAAGAAATACATTAGGATTCTTTTACTGAAAGCTATTGCACTTCTTTTGATTCATGTTATTACAATGAAAATTTGACTGATACTCAAAGTATTTTCAAAAAGTCTGTGCTTTAATTCATCATTTTATCTATTGAGAAGTGGAAAGCTAATGTTGGCCGTAACACTTCTTGACAGGGTAAACATTTCTTAATAACACAAGAATAAAAAGAAGACATTGTTGCTGTCATCAAGGGGGATCTGGCAAGTTACCTCTCTTACCATGAAACAAATGCTTTATTTTTTATGTATGTGGCAGCTGTGCTCTGCGGGCAGCCAGGGTGGGTGCTGTGCGGTGTGGAGGGTGGCCGTGTCCCTTGGGAGCTGCAAAGGCCGTAGGCACCGGTGAGTCCTGACTCATTTGGCCTGGGAGGAGGCAGATGGCTCCGTGATGAGGCTGCCTCTGCAGTGGAAATAGAGTTTGTCTCTAAAGCAGAGCTTTCTTCAGCTCGCATTGTATGGAGAGAACTTGAATCAGAAGGAGTTTTGGCAGATGGTAGTGCAAGTAGCATAGGAGCAAAAGGAATTTGGAGCGTGTTTCTCCTGCAAGAATCTCAGGGGCTTTTATTGTATAAGGGAAAATAAAAAGCAGCCCTAACAAAGCAGCTCCCCCAAACCAGAAATGTGGCATAAATTGTTGAATAAAATGTATATCTGTAAATTTCGTCTTTCTCCAAAATTTAAGCAAGAAGGAAAATTGGAAAGAGTTTTTGATAATTTGTCACTTTTCTAGTAATGGAATGGAGTAGAATTTGACTTTTTGAAGGAATTTTGTCATGACTGTCCTTTGTAAGGATAGATGGGCTCAACCCGGTATTGACAGTGTAGGATTCTGTAGTGCTTTTGGTAGGATAATACTAGATATGAATGTTGCTTTAGACATCTTTTGTTAGAAACATGGTTCTGAGCATAAATAGATTTGGGCAGAGTGAACAGGCGTTGAGATTTCTTTGTAATTTGAATTTGTAATCTAAATTTTGCCATTTAAACCAGTGAAATAGGAGGGAACAGAGCCCGATCAGTTACAAAAGAGGAAACATTTTAAAGTGAATACTGTGACCAAAGCCAAGTCGCTGAAGTTGCTTCAAAGAGTTTTTGTAAACTGAGACACCAGGCTGTACAGCTTTGCACTGTAAAAGCAACTTCCTTCATCATCCAGCACAGTGAGATTTAAAACAGGATCACCACCTGCTTTTGAAGATACTGAAATTTTGCAGGAGAACTGAAGTGCTGCGAAATGTGATGCTGCACAGGGCTATGCCAAGACTTCATCCTTTATATTCCTTTTTGTCCTGGAATTAGCTAATGGGTCCAAACTTGTTGGATTGTTTGTAGCTTCAGTTGCAGGGCTTTCTTACTACTTTCCTTCTTGAGGTTGAGCTATTTAATAAAATATCTGGAGGAAATTTAAGAACAGTGGTTGGACAGCTGGAGGTAATGTTCTCCCAACACTAAAGTTGTGTTTATTTTTGTTCTTGGATATTTAATTTGTTTAGTAAGTCATTGTGAGTTTATTTCATACAGTTAAAAGGAACTCACTAATAGTTTGGTAGTGAACTCCTTGTTTATCAGTTCCCACAATCTGGCATTTTACAGTGTCTATTTTAAATCTATGAAACTAGTCTTTCTTCTAAAGAAAGGGCTATGTTATTTAATAAAGCAGAAACTTATTTATGGTGGGGCTTTTTTTGTCTTTTAATTTAACACAATATGGAATAATGACTATCTTCCATATATTCTATTTAATATATATATTTTTTTTCTCTTACAGAGTATTAATATTAGGAGCTTCAGGAGGAGTTGGCACATTTGCTATACAGGTAATATACTGTGGCATGCCCAAGATGTGCCTTCAGATTATTCAACGTGAACAAAATTTGACAGAAGGGAACTTGAGGAAAAGATTGTTAAATAGCAGGCTAATGAATAGTCTGCCAGAGCTCTGACAGTAAAATATTTTTAGTTTGTTCCTTTTACTAACTTAAGATAGGAAGCAGGGAGTTTCAAAGAAGGACGCTGTGCGTGTAGGTAGCAAATAGCACATTTTGCTGTTTGGGTCCAGGAAATTTGTAGCTTGCATATGTTGAAATACAGAGTCTGTTTCGTTATCTTTCAGCCCCCTTTCAGCTCAAATCTGTATATCCAGAATGAATAGTGTGCAAGCAGAAAAACTGATGGAAAAAGTAAATGATTGCACTCATAATTTTCCTTCATATGTTCATATCTGTAGCTGTTGGTGGTGGCCAGAGGATGTAAGATACACAAGTGTAGTGGTTATAATCCGTAGATTAATTTCCCTTCGCTGTCATTCCCCCATTGCCCTCCTGTCTTCCTTCATTCTGGTAGCTCTGATAATTGGAGAAATGACATGTTCTGTTGTTGATTCATGAATCAACATGCTCTTTTCATGCCTTCATGCAATTTGAGAATTAGAATGCCAATCATTGTCATCTTATGCTACAACAACTTTCTCTTCAGCATATGAAACAAATGTACAAGTCAGACAATTGCATCAGTGTTTTCCGTCTTACTAGGCAATAATCACAATGGTCCTAAGAGGGCTACAGGAGAACTTTAGTGGTTGCTCTTTGCTTGAGCCACGATGAAGCAGGTGCCTAAATAAGATAATAAAAAGGCTGAGCAAGCTACTGACTAATTGTGATTACTGACCTGCAATTAACCCAAATAAACCAATTAATCTAGTTTAAGTGTCAAAAAACATATAGTGAAAGAGAGTAGAGATTACAAAAAAAAGAGAAATGATTATCAAGAATTCATTACTTTGTTATAGCTTTGTGTGCTAAAAGATCCTCTATAATTGTACTTGACAATTCTCTGTAATGTAAATCTGAGATTATCTTTTTAAGTTCTTTGATTAATAATTATTTACAGTGATATATTTAGTGAGCTGATAAGGATTAAAAATAATTTAAAGTCATTAATACTTTAAGTACTTGAAAGTCATTAAATCTGGTGACAATTTTCCAACTCCCTACATATAATGAAACTTTAGCTTTTTAAGGTTCTGTTTTACTAAATTTTAGACCTTGGATTCCTTTTTTTTTTTCTCTCCTTCCTTTTAGCTAGTGAAGGCCTGGGGTGCTCATGTGACAGCAGTTTGTTCTGATGATGCCAGCCCTCTGGTGAAAAAGCTTGGAGCAGATGATGTGATTGATTACAGATCTGGAAATTTGGAAGAGCAGCTTAAAGCGTTACCCTTGTAAGTGTTTGTGCTGTTCAATACTGAGATGAAGGAGCTGGCAGTCAGTCCATTTGGCTTTTGATTACTTGACTCTGGTCACACTCTCTGTTTTCTGTTTTTCCACTTCTAAAGCCTTACTTTCTAAAGCAAGTTCATCCGAGCACTTTTTGAATGTAATTTGCCAAGTAAGTATCCCTAGCACAGATTTCATTGAAAGATTAAGTCAGTTAATTAGTTTTGCAGAGGCAAGCTCAAGCTTTTACGTGTTCTTCAATGACCATGATTTGGAGAGCTCTGTCAGCTTCCATCCAAGGATCTTAGTGTACTTGTAAAGCCTGAATTAATTGAAATAAATCTGAGGACTCCTGTGTGGACTTAGTAAAATTCATCTTTAGAAGGAAGAACTGTGTCTTGGAGCATTTCAGTGGCTTGCCCAAGGTGCTTTAGCTAGGGTGCAACAGAGCTGGCAGTGAATTTTTCTTCTGTGACGCTGGGTACAGCTGCCTCTGATAAATAACCATATTTATCTGGTCACAGCAGTTACATTTAAAGTAATGGGGTGACCCTCTGCAACAAAAATTCCCTTTGCTTCTGTGCTCCTGCTGTAGGTTTAAACTTGGACTAATGTGACTAGCATTTGTATATTGCTTTTTTTTTTTCTTTTTTTTTTTTTTTTTTTGATAGATTGAGCTAGTTTTCTGAGAGATGGAAAAGACACCGTTCGATTAGTGAAAGAGTCTTTGTGGTGCTGTGCCAGGCAGACGTGCCCTTCGCTCCAGCTTGGCTCTTAGCTGACCTGAGATCAATGGGGAGGGTATTGGCTAGGGCTGTGTGGGCAGGCAGTGCAGCAATTAACTCACTGATCCGCAGGCAGTGCTGACCTGGCCTTTGTGCTAACTGCTAAACTCTGTTCAGGGAGCCTGGGGTTTAGTCAGAGGTCTTCACGCTTTGTTTCTGCTTTGTTGTGAGCAGATTAATGCAGTGCAGTGAGAAACACAAATATAAGCTCCAGCCAGCATCCAGGATATGACCGTAATGAGGATCTGTTTTTGTCATATAGTGATTTGAAGTCTGTTCTTTACATGTCTGCAGATTTGATTTCATCCTAGATAATGTTGGCGGATCCACCGAGAAGTGGGCTCTGGATCTCCTGAAGAAATGGTCGGGAGCAACGTATGTTACCTTAGTAACACCCTTCCTAGTCAATATGGACCGGCTGGGAGTGGCTGATGGCATGTTGCGCACAGGAGTCACTATTGGTTCCAAAACTGTAAAGGTATCTCGCAAAATCCTCTGTACTTTTATGTAAAATCCTGTACTTTTATGCTGTACCCTTGTGGCCTCTTTGGCTTGGCTGCTAGTCATGTCATCTGGAGGCTTCTGTCTGATTTGTCTCGTACGTTGCTACGCATCCCTCAGATGCATTTTTATTCTTTCCTGCTTTCTTGCTCAGAAAGAAATAATGTATTGGGGTGGTGCTGATTAGTATATGTGGTAGTTTGGGGTGTTTTGAAGTTTTGATTCTTCATTGTGCTTTCATTGAGGCCTTTCCCATATATCATCCTTGTGAATCCCACTGGCAGCTGGTGTTTTATAGTTAGCAGAGCAAAGCCCTGCCTCATTGAAATCGGCGTCATTTTGCTACTTGTTTCAGTCTGGTCAGGGTTTCTTTCAAAACACTGTTCCGTGGCTGATTCTTGTTATCCCATTCCAGCACTGCAGAGTAGTAAAAGTGGTAGAGGATGACAAAAAAAGTCTTTCATTTCCTTCGTGTTCCTGTGTCTGGATGGCAGTACTGAATTTTTTTTTTTTCTAGTTCTCCTAAGTGGATTTTTGAAATGTTCTCGCAGTGGCCAGAACAATGAGGCCTCTTGGAACTGTTCTCTGCCTTCTCACTGCCATGTGAGCTTGCTCTTCAGGAGCATGTGCCAAGATATTTCTGTGATGGCAGGGCTGAGTGTGTGGGTTGAGACCCACACTAATATTTTCAAATGCAAGATCAAAATTTAAACCGTAAAAATAAATTCTGTAACTGTATTTCTCAGTGCAAGGGTTTGCATGTTTCCATGATAAGAAGCATTACACGCCAGGTATTAAGCATCAGTTGTGCTTGACTCTTATTCCTCTAATGAATTCCTCAGAGGAAGTGCTCTTGCCCTGTGCTGGTCAGGTCTTCCTAAGATACTTTTTACGTGAGCTTACAGCTGTCACCAGATGGTCGTGACTGGCAGAGGTGGTGGTGGAAAACCTAATCACTGGCAACCGAATCACTCCACACAGGTGGAGGGTTCTGGATGTCACATTGCTGGTTTCAGAGCCTCACAGAGTGGTTAAGGTGGGAAGGGGCCTCTAGAGATCATCTAGTCCAACCCCCCTGCATGAGCAGGGACACCTCTTTGTTCAGCCCCCGCTGCAGACGTGTCCACCTGAGTGTCTGGCTCTGCACCACTTCTCTCTTATGTAAGAACCGGCGCTATTTCTAGCTGCAGGGACAAGGTCGTCGTTGTTCTCAGCCAGCTGACTTGTGCAATTAGGCACCAAACCTCACCCTGGTCCTGCTGCGGTAATACAACACCCGTCTGTACATTTAATCCACATGCTTAGGTGATGTTTTTTTGGGGATGCTAGCAAATAATTTCCAATTTTTTTTTTTGCTTCAATACTTCTCTGGTGTTTCTGTCATTGCTTTTAGTTCCCGTTTAGTTCAGTTTCCCCTCGTAACTTTTAAAAATATTTGTGATCTCTTTCCTGCAGCATCTTTGCAAAGGAGTCCATTATCGGTGGGCGTTTTTTATGCCAAGTGGCCCGTATTTGGATGAAATAGCAGAACTGGTTGAGTCTGGAAAGGTACGTCAGTAAATGGGTACTAGAGCTTTTGTGTTGAAAGATGTGCTACTTTGCCTTAATAATGTTATAATTCATAATGAAGAAATAAAATGTTATGAGGTTGGTGATAAGGAAGAAAAGAGTTCAGAGTTGGCTTGCTTCAGTTCTGTCATTCCCCTGTCAAGTTTTGGCTTTTTATGTGGAATTTAGGGGCTGATGGTCCATAAAGCCATTCTGTCTTCTCCATGTTTACCCTACTTCTTTTTTAAAACCATGCTAAATTATGAGAAAAAAAAATAGCTGGAGCTTCTCTTTTTGTGCCAATGGGAGTCATTTAGCATTGGCTATGATCTTTTTAGAGGTTTTGTATGGGTCACTTGGCCAGAGTGAACATGACTGTATGTTCGTGCATATGCACAGTTCCCTGGCCTGGCTCATGGAGAGGCCTGTGCATAATGCAGACAGGAGGAGGAAATTCAGGTTACTGCAGGTCACAGATGATCTGCGTTGGCAGCATCATGGAGGGAGACTTGCATTTCGTTACTTCACTGCTTGGGAGTATGTAGTTGTTGCTAATTTAGCACATATCAATGACCTGAAATATTGTGGGTGCTCATAAGCTTTTGGGAAGCTCTTCCTTGGAGGAAGGTCATGAAGCAGCAAGGATGTTAACCACTTTTCTGATCTCCTCGGGCTTGACCTTCCTGTAAAATGTCTGCGAGATTGTGGACTGGGATGCTCACTCAGTGGAGTACATGATGCTGTACATCCTGTCTGTGCTCCTTTGGAAGGCTTCGTATGGTTAAAACCCCCAGGCAGAGAACAGGGGCAGCTGCTGTTAATCTTTGTTTGCCTGCTGAAGCAGAGGAGGAAGCAGAATTTGCCACTACTGCTGCTGCTATGCGAGTTGTCAGGCCTTCTGGTGCTCAGAAGCTATAGGCACTTAGAAAAGTTAGACTGCTAAAAGATAGTTTGCGTGTTCATCTCTCTCCCTCTCGCTCTTTTTTCCCCCTTCTCTCTGACAGGTTTCTCCTCAGTGCTACTGACCAGGGTAGATTTCTCTCCAAATTCAGCCAGGCCTCCCCTGTGTTGTCACCTTACTGCTGCTGACACGAGCAGCGCAAAGTCTGCCTTTCCCCCAGAGTCACCTGCTCAGGAGCAGAGATGGCAGCAGCAAAGAAGCCGTGGTGAAGAGTGTTCCTGCCTGCAGTTGTACAGCGCTGTGCTGCCCTTCAGGCACTTTCTGTGCGCTAGGGAGAAACCCTAGAAAATGTTTCTTGTCCTGTGATCTCATCCAGTCGCACTTTATGAAATTACAGTTGACTAAGGGCAGAAGTGTCCTTGTCATTGTGCTTACCATTGTCCTGATCCTAGCCCAGCACAACCTGTTTTGTGTTCTGTTCCTGCTTTGTATGCAAAACAGAAATGCAGAATATGCCCGTGAAAGCTTCTTGGGCAACATCTGTTTATGCAATAGAGAGAGAGCCTAATGGGTATTCATCTGCCCAGTAATCTGGACAGGTGAATTCTAATACCATTTAAAACGTGCGTCATGCATATATGAACGTCCTGATGTGCCTTGCGTTGTAAGATGATCATGAGGATAAAGCTGTTTGCTTAGTCTGTTATTCTGTGTCTGCAAAAACAGGTTATAATGTCGGACTGTTGATCTGCATAGTCTTTATCCTAGCAGTATTTCACCCTATTCTGTAAAATGTTGTAAACACCTGTGCTCTCCGAAGTGCTGAGATCACCCAGATGTGACCCGTTCATTTGCATGAGTGTTAATAGAGTATGACTTTAATGGTCCAGGCATAGGTGTGCTCCTAGCTGCACAGATCCTGCATTCAGGAGAAGGGGATATTTGGAAGAAGAACAGGGAAGAACTACTGGAGGAGGTCCATTGTAATTCATCGCTTCTGGAAAATAAGTGGTGCTTAAATTAGACTACAAGAAAGGAGAATAAAAAAATATATATATATATATATATAAACAGGGAATGATGCTTGAACACTTGGGGAAAGTAGCAAAGTGTTGTTCATGTGGTTCAACTCCTTCATAGTTCACTGAATACAGTTTTGAGTAACGCAGATGCAGTTATGCTGAAATGTCAGTGAATTGTGTGTTCTTCTCTTACAGATATCTTAGTTTATATGAGATGTGAATATGAGAGAAATTGCAAAGCTCCTGAAGCAGATTAGAGATTTTTCTCAGGAAAGTCATAAGTGGGGATTCTCAGCTGTAATCAGTGGAACTTACTTTAAATGAGGGTAATTAAAAAGAGCTAATGGTTTAAAGAGATGCTGTTGTATAAAGTGAAGCTTTGAAGAGCATGCCCGTGAAGCAGATATGGGTTAAATTGGTTATATTGATTTGTCATGGTTTTTCTTCTTCTGGTCCTTGTTCAGAAGTGCAGATCTCTGCTTCTAGTGTGTTCCAAAACCTTCCTTTGCAAAAAAAAAAAAAAAAAAAAAAAAGGCATTTTTGTTTAAAGATGCTTGGTTTTCACGCAGATGAGCTTTGCAGCAGAGTTGGTTTTATGCAGGACAGTCCTTTTTAATGGGGAGGAGGAAGAAGAGATTTGAGGAGCTGGAATGGCAAGGAAGGAGAATCATTTCCCTTCTGTAACTTCCTGCACATTCGCACAATTCTGGGCACTGTAAAGGCAGTGCTGTTTTCCCCCGTGAGCTGCTTTAGCTGTCTTGCCATTGAGCCTCTTGCTAAGAGGTTACTGTAAGACTGAAGGGCTCAGAGTCTGCTGGAACAGCAGTAGGAAAGGAGAAAACTAGATGCTTCCTAGTCACATCTTGGATAAACAGGTTACTTTCTAATACCCTTCTGCCAGTTAGTTCTTAGCCTGTAAGGTTTGGCTTAACTTGGGCTCCATCAAATCAGCTGGTGAGGCACATGTCGGAAGCCGGGGGTCTCTTTCCATTAGGAATGATAAGGGTCTCATCTAAAGTACAATCAATAGAGCCTTTGGTTCAGCACATAAATTTGCTGGCAGCCTGTTGGCTGAAGCAGCATTGCTGGTCTCTGCTGCCCCGTTAAGTGGAGAGGCTCCTCAGACACTAGTCTGCTGTGTTTGTGGACCTAGCACTGGAGGTCTTGGTTATTTGCTGCTTGCTTGCCGCTTAGCCTTCTGTTTCCTACTAAGGACGTGCTGCTTGGCCCTTGGTGTAACATCTGCTAAGTTCCTATATGCTGCCTAGGTGTGTGGAAAACTGGTGACTGGTACTTCAGCACCTTACCTATTGCAAAGCCTGGGGGAGGAAGGCAGCTCAAGAGACTTGTTAGGGCAGGAAGGGGGAGCACCGAGTTTGTCCTAAGTATCTGCTGTGTTGTGGATTAAGGGGCGGCCCAAATAGAAGTTAGAAATTTTCGTTTTAATTTGGAGCCCTTTAAATGTGCCCTAGTGTTGCATGTGTGCACAGTGTCGTTGCTGGGATCTTCTCTCTCCTTGATAGCAAAGGCTGGTAAGCGGAGTCTGTGGTCATGAAGTGAATAGATCCTTCTCCCTGTTGTGTTTCCGTCCTACATAAGTGTTATAGCACATGCATAAGGGAAACGATTGCATGCACAGAATCACAGCATTGTTAGGGGTGGAAAGACCTTCAAGATGAAGCGCACCTGTAAGCCCTTCACCACCACGCCTGTAGAACCACGTCCCTAAGCACCTCCTCTGCACGTTTCTTGCATGCTGCCGGGGACAGGGACTCCATGGCAAGCCTTGATAGTGAATTTGTTTGCAGTAACAGCTGTACTTTTTGTCAAAGGCAGTAGATGCTTTGGACTCAGCGACCTGCTTTTGTGGGTTGGAGGACAGGATGTGCTGGTTGTTCCTTGGCTCGGCTGCCATCTTCCTGTATGGACGATACCTTTTGGCACTTGGATTTCTCTATCTGCTCCTGAAGGCTAATGGCATCTATCCATCTTTGGATGATGTTCTCTGATGTTCCTGTTAAAATGCAGAATGTAGCTGTTCGCTGTTGCTAGTCTTTACTATTCAGGAATAGCAACAGGAATAAGCAATAACAGAAATGACTATGGTCATGCACTCGCACATCACTTGGGCATGAGTTGTTTGGATGGCCCTGATTTAAGCTGACCTACCTTGTTTGGCCAGCGTAGTTCATCACAGCTTCTTGACTGTGTGCTCTGACCCATGTGTACTGACTGTCTTCCCCCTTGCCTTGTTAGGCCTCTGCAAGCAGCATTTTCCTTGGCCTGCATGCCCAAGTGTTGCTAATTTTTCCTCATGTGTAGTATGAATATCAAACAGTTAATGTAACATTGTTACATTATATGAATAGACCCTTCATTATTCATTATATGAATATGTCCTTGAATATTCTGCAAATCTAGCATCTCAAGAAATTCCAGATTTGTAGAAATTCTAGACTTGGGTGTCCAAATTGATTAAAGGTCAGTCATGCTCCCCACTCCCTTTCAGTATGTTGCCCTGGTTGAGATGGCTGTACTTTTCATGTGCAAATGAAAAGCATGTATTTTCTTTTTATATATATATATGTATTTATATATTCAATTTTGTGCTTTCTTGTTGCAGTGCTTTTGCTTGCCGGGTTTGTTGGCCAGAGCCCAGAGATATTAATCAAGGAGAGGTTGCCAGAGAGACTGTTCAGTCCTCTCTCTTCTAAAAGGAGCCTCTATCTGCATCTCATTATGTCCACCAAAAAAACATATTGTGATTTTTATTAAAACACATCTGCTCCTCTTCTCTCAAATGATGTAGCTTGCTCACGATCTTAATGAAAGTGCTGTGTGATTACATTATAAAACTGCCTGTAAAGAAGACTAATGGAAACCTTGCACGCCGTGGAGAGATAGGGTTGGGTTTGAATATGTAAGCTCCCATAAACCACGATGAGGTCTGGAAGAAAACTGAGCAGATACCGGGTACTTAATCAAAAGTATGGCTTCAGCTTGATGTCCCTGCGTATGCCGTGGAAAGCGGGTGCTAGTGGCCTGGGCTGCAGTGCCTTGTGGAAGCAGGAGCTGCCTGCACGCAGTTACAGCCCCAGAGCCACGCGTGGCCTCAGTGAAACAGCTTAATTTGCTGAGAGCTGCCGGGGAGACAGAGGTTATGCAGGAAACTTCCTATCCGGGGGGAAAATATTGGTGGACTTAGGAAGAAGGAAAGTGTCTGTATGAAGTGCAGCTCCTGCCGATGGTGCCGTGTTGGTGGTGCTGCCCCCGCTCGGTTTGGCCGTCCCGAGGGGCGGGAGGGTGGCCCTGGCTGCGGCTCCCGGGGATGCCGAACCGGAGCGAGGCTGCTCTCTCCTCTGCCTCGCAGGGTTTCAGCACCGATCGGCAGGTAGCCAGACCCAGAGCTTCCTCCTGCGCTTCCGTCGGCGGCATCTTGACTGCCCGGTACGCGCCGCGCTGCTGTGCTGGTCCCAGGTTCTTGTTGCCCTTCGCTGCTCTGCCAGGGACAATTAAGGAACTAGGGAATTACAACCCCCCAGTGCCCTCTGAACCACAGCGTTCCCTTCACCTTGGTCTTTTATGAGTGTTGGCTCTAAAATCTATCAATGGCTATGGGGAGCTCTCCACGTGCTGTTGCGTATTATTTGATGGGTAAGGAAGGATGAAAAGGAGGTGGGATTAAGACCCAAGGAGTGTGGGACTTGCAGCAGGAAGGGAGCTGCTCAGCTAAAGGGAGGAGCCACCAGGAACAGCGATGTCCTGAAGGTGAGCATTTTTTCCATGCAATCCCTGTAAAGGGCTGTACAAATAGCTAAATGGAGGAGAGCCTCCAGCTTTTACCTGGCTAGCCAAAATGTCAGCCCTGTGTTTTCCATTCGAAAAGGCCTCAGAAGGATTTTGAGCCCCACTGGAGCCCTGGGGGCTGGAAGGGCCAGCGCCGGCCGTTGCGCGGGCCACAGGGGCTGTTCTGGTCCTGCTCGAGCTGCGAGCTCCGCAGGGAGCAGCTCCAGTCCAGCTGGAGCCACCTGCTCCATTCACCTCATGTTTTTTCTCTCCTTTCCTCTCCTGATAACATCACGCCGGGGCTGTGCTAGTGCAGGAGAGGAAGCCTCCCGGGAGGGAGGGCTTGAACGGGGCAGCAGCGGGAGCCGCGCGTTCCCGCTGACCGGCCGTCTCCTCCTGCTCGCAGCCCGCTGCGTTGAGCCAGGATTGCCCAGGGATAGCGCTCCAGCGCTGCTGTGGCCATAGCCGTAATCGGCATCAGCAGTTACTCTTTTTATTTTTCCAAACACATGAGAGACCTGAGCTTCATTTCTATAGTGTGTTCTGCGCTGGAGCGAATGAAGAAACCGTCTTTCAGCCCCAATCTGTTGTCAGATAAACATTTCAATGCGCGCGTGTATAATCCTTTCTCTCCCAGATTTTCGTTTAATCCCTTTTCCCTGAACAAATAGGTGTCCTCTGGCAAGGAACTGATGTGTGGCTGTAAATAGGCAGTGTTTTTATTATCCAGTTAATCTCCATTTATTATCGCACATTCAACAAACAGCAGGCGCTCCCCTACTTGTTTGTCTGCTCACAGGAAGAAATTTTAGCTGAGTCAGGGGCTCAGGGCAGAGGCTGAGTGAATCCCGGTGCCGCGCCACGGGCCGCGCTCAGCCAGTCCAGGGTTATTCAAACAAAGGGAGCGATCAGCCGGCCCGATAGCGCGTTTAATGCTCCCCAGTGCCAGGGTCATCACTTTAGCATTCATGGCTCCCTGGGGCGCTGCCCAAAGCCTGTGTTAGGATGGGGGGCACCTGGGTGCAGCTCTGGGTGCCCCGTGGCCTCGGGGCTGCTCAGGCCTTCCCGAAACAGCCTGGGGCTGGAATACCTGCTGTTCTGCGGGGCTGTAAGCTGCTGCCTCTGACAAATGGCTGAGGTGGTGGGATACTGAAGGGTAATGGTCAGCTTGTTCGCCTGTTCCCAGCACGTTTGGAATGACCTCTGGCCTTTCCCTGGGCTCCCTCAGGCTTCCCAGTGGCAGGTGCTGAACGGCTCTAACACCCCCCTCTCTTCCCAGCCTCTTGCCCTGGGTCGTGGTCACCTGTGTCCGTGTTCCAGCAGGCTGAGCTCCTCTCTTCCAGTTGTCTCAGCTGAGGCCAAGACTTGCGTGCAGCTGCCATGGGTGATACCTGCGCGTGCACTTGGGCCTGGCTCAGCGAGGGTCCTCAGTTTCCTTGTTTTTCCCAAGCTCCTGCTACTGAAGGAGCCCCGGGCTGGCCTTCCTGAGGAGGCACCACCAAACATTGTTTGCTGCTTGTCACAGCAGCTGCGCTTTCCTCCAGTGCTCAGTTTGCCCAAAGACATTACCTCATTCCACAGCTTTGTTGCCTGGGCCCATGGCTTTGCTGATGCCAGAGACAGCATTTCCATTCTGCACGGGCTGCTGGCTGCACAGGATTAGTTCTCTTGACCTGGGCCTTTTGTGCTGCCCAGCTGAGCAGCAGCATTTTCATGCCTGCTTTGCTCGAGGTCTGTCTGCTATAGGGTGTCCTGGCTGATCAAGGGAAAGAAAATACTCGGCCTTATGACCTGAAGCTTGGCATAGGTGAGGTACTTGGTGAATATTTATTTATACAATTACTTTCCTGGTGAATCAGATGCTAATTCTAACCTTTTCTTTGAAGGGGTTTACTCAGTTCTGCTTTTATGTAAACTTTCAACATGCTGCCAGCCTTTCCTTAATAGAATAAAAAGCAAAATTGTAGCAACACACTCAGGAGATGCTGCAGTGCAAGAGTCTGCTTACTGATGTCTTGTATTACCCCATAACCCCAACAAGCAAATACTCTTATGCAGTGAGTAGGGTCCTGCATCTGAGTAAGGAGAAGATGCATTTAAGATAGCGTCCTGCATCCGACTTAAGAAGATGCATGAGGAGGAGAAAATGTCTCGCCAGGAGCACTGGGGCCTGTGCTGAGGGGCTGGGGGGGTCAGAGCCCTGCCTGGAAAATGTGCATCTATGGCAGACCTTTCCTGGGTGGTGCTACACACCTGAAAACGTATCCCTGCTTGGGGGAGAGGGCAGCTTTCAGAGGAGGGCCCTGTCCCGAGGCCGGCACATAGGTCAGCTCCTTGCTGTTGTTTTATTCCTGTTCTGTTCAGAGCACTGCAGGTCCTGGCAGGAAGGGGCAGGAGGGATGCAGAAGGATGAACCTAGGGGGCTCGAGGGCAGGAGACCCACCTCAGGTAGGGTGGTGGGGGCAGTTGTGCACACAGATCTTCTGGCCTCTGGAAGGAGGGCTCAGCACCTGGTGCTAAAGGCAACTTCTCTTGGACCAGCCCTGACAAGTGTTCTTCAGCTGCAGATTTTTCATTTGTTTCTTGCTGTATGACATTATCTAAGAGAAAGTGCTGGTAGTTTTTTTCTGGCATCTGAGCTAGTGATGGGAACAGTGAGTATTCACAGTGCATTTCACCTTCATTATTAGAGATGACACTGAAGCAATCCAGAGGGCTACTCTACAAAATTAATGTCAAAACAGCAGTTGATGCAAGCTGGGCTTAATGATCTATGTTTATTGGAATACACAGTGGTTGAGTTTTCAAGTGTGTCTAAATGATTCAGCAACAAAAGCCAGTGGGGTTTTGTACTTCAATTGCAGCCAAGGCCTTTAAAGACACTAAGACACCAACTGCTGCACAAGGGCTCTAGAGTCACAAGTATCTTCAAAAGAGCCTATGCTCTGAAATTTTTGTCTGATGTGAAAATCAGCTTGAAGATAAGACAAAAGATAAAACCCTCTTCCTCAGCTGGTCATTTTGGACAACATAAAATTGAGCCACAGAGCCTGTCTTCTTTTAGCAGGCTTGGGAGGCTACAGCCCTGCCTGGTAACTGGGGTGCTAGAACATCAAAACTTGCAGCAGCAAGTTTTCTCTTGCTGAGGGTCCTCAGAGGGGCCCTTGGAAGAACTGAAATGCTGAAGACTACAGCAGCATTGGCAACCCCGGCCTCTATAAAATACTCCCTCTTTCTTTATGCATGTTTGAAGGGTGAAGGTGAGATGAGTGTTCCTGATCTGCTAGATCATTTTATGCCTAATTCAGTGACCCTTCTTATTTGTTCTATAGATCCACCCAGTTATCGATCAAGTCTTCTCTTTTTCTGAAGTTCCAGAAGCCTTTCTGAAATTGGAAGGAGGACACGCACGAGGAAAAACAGTGATCAATGTCATTGATAAACAATAAAGGTATCTCTGATGATTGTTCTGCCAGCTGCCTCTCCTTAACTAGTCTATGCCACTGGAACATGAATTTGGTATATAAAAACAATTATGTGTTAAAGAGGTCAGAAGAAGGATGTATCATTAAAAAAAGACTTAGAATTTTTTTAAAGTTGGTACTACTTTGCTTGTATGTAAATCTGTGGAACAAACAGTGCTGCCTTTCATGGGCAGGTCTAAATAAAAACTATCTTCCACATGTAGTCTTAACTCTTATCATAACTGATCCCAATAGAAGCGTGAAACAGAATCAGGCTGTAGCTGATAATTATTTTAATGACCAAAGTCAAGGTCCAGGAGCCCCTGCTCTTTTCATGCCCTCGTCACTGCTGGCATTTCATGGTGTTTGGTTTCCAACTCATTTTTGCCAGGGGTGGGATAAGGAGCAACTCCCCATGCAGGCAGATCTCCACAGTGGTAACCTGGTTATCCAGAACTGCCCCTTTCACCTGTATGCAGCTCAGGTGGTAGAAATGAAGGGGCAGGGGGACAGAAGCTGTGGCCCCACAACACATATTCCTCAAAGGCTGCGGCTGCCCCCTGTGTGATCGTCCCATATGAGCATTATGGACAGAACAGGACATCCCAGAAAAGCAAAAGTAAGTGTGCAGGGTCAGTTTTCTACCTATAAAAAGAAATTCAAGAGGAAGCTACCTAGCTTAAATTTATTTGTGAAATGCCGTATTATATTTAGCAAGAGCACATCAGTGTGACAAAGTACCACTGTTTGGAAACCAGTAACAACACATTTTCTATGAAGGACTAAAAGCAGCACATTTCAGAGCAACAAAACTTGAGTACTTCTGTACAACAGGAGGATATTAGTAAGGCACTTCCTCTCAGGGTAACAATAAAAGCACCAGTATCCTTTGAGGCAACACAGCAGTAATGCAGACATTACTTTTAACAAACCACCATGCAAACCAAAGGATGCTCCTAGGAGCCACTTGTAGTAACACTGGTCTAAGCCAGAACGAAACAGAGCAGCATAGTACAAGGCTTTGCTCATATTTTACTTTTCTGCCAACATTACTAAAGAAAACTAACAAATACAGTGTCAACACTGGGCAAGAGAAGAACCTCCTCTCCTCCTTTAACACACCTGCCTTGTCACGAGTCCTTTCCCTAAGAAGTACCACTTGCTTGGAGCAGGCAGCGCCAGTGGGGCTGGGAACGTATCCAAACCCGGCCGTGCCGCTAGCTCCAGCGCTCTGACGTTTCCTCGGGAGCCCGGCAGCCACCGCAGGCGTTGCTGTCCAGCTCCCCCTGCACTATGGGCAGTAGGGCAGGCTCCACGGAAAGATGGGACACAAATCAGCCAGGAGAGGCCAGGCAGCAACGTCCAAAAAGGTTAGTAGCCACTGTCCCTTTCCAGTCATTTACAGTGATACTTTGTTGTTTTTTTTTTTTTTTTTTAAATATGGTAAGTAATTTTTAAATTTAGAAAGACTGTACCTACTCAAGTTGCTTTAAGGGTAAAAATTTGTCTTGGCAAACAAGTGAAATACTGCTAATTCCAAAAATTAGGCATTGTAGAAAATGGGCAAGTTCTTTACGTTCTGATCCATCTTTTAGCCAGCCCTCTCTTTTTCCTGACAAACTTCTTATTTACATCCTCTATGCAAGAAAAATGTAGATTTTTTTTCTTAATTTAGGACCACTATTGTAGCATGCTAACTGTATCTAAAGGCACATAATAAACATTCTCTGGATACAATGTGCGCTAGTAGTCTTTGAATTTTCAGTAAACATAACTTTGTTCCAGTGAAACAAATATATTAATTTTCAGTAGTGACTATTTCTCTATACTACAGCCCTTAGATCCACATTGCTATACCCCCATACACATTGCACTCCTGTCCTTTACATAATAAGCTTTAACTATTTTAACCCTTCTCTCTCTTTTTTTTTTTTTCACAATAATTTAAAATTACAGTTATTAACTATGCTGGATTTAGTGCTCACCAACATGACAGTAACTCCATGTGGCCTCTCCCACCTTTAGTTCTTTCCCTGGAGCCTGAAGGACACTGCCATTCTCTATAGCACAGTGATTTGTGAAGATTAAATGAGATTAAAAGATGGAAATGGTCAAGTTTTTATAGGGATAAGAATCTTAGCTAGAGAGACATGAAACCGTTCTGTTGCTTGTTGTTCTCAACGGTGCAAGGAAAAGACGTAAGTCTCATTGCTGATCTCGTATCCTTCAACGCTGGCAGTGCCAGTTCCGGCATCCAGGAGAGTGGCCAGTTCACACGTTGCTGTCTCTGCCCGCTGGATTTACACGACTAGCGGTTCCCAGCACTGCGTGAGCCTTTCTTCGTTAACCGTGTTGACGACGACGTGGTCGCGATCGTACTGCGTGCCCCCTGAGGAGAAAGAATCAAAGATCCATAATCCCTGACAGGACACTCGGACTGGACTCGGGGTTTGAGGTTCTTTCAAATGGGCTTTTCTCCCCCATGACACAGAAAACAACTTGTTTTTAGCCCAGCCTGCTTGTGGAGTTTGTTTTGGATCAGCGGCCTTCTCTGCTCCCTGCTCTCATCTTCAGCAAAGCAGCCCTTCAGCCGGGGCAGGACATCCTGTGAGTGTCCCATCTAGCTCCTGCTACTAAGGCCCTCAACTCCCAACGTCAATTTTAGCTCCTCAATTTCTCCTCGACAGTTACCAGGTCACTTGGCTTTCAATATGTTTATGTTATAAGTCCTGCTGTTAACAGACAATACTACCGCCACAATGCCAAAGAAAAATTAAAATGGGCAAGGGATGAGTCCGGTACTCATTTAGCCTAAATCATAATCCCATGTTTTCATCAGCTGCATCATTATTTTCCCTACACAGAATATCAGCCAGGGCTCAGTAGCTTTAGCTAGTAGCTGAGCATGCCCAAACATGAAAGTACCTCGCTTTTTTTTTGATGGGAGCATCACATTTACCCCTGTTTCACATCCACCAAATACGTTTTCCCAGGAGAACACCATGAGAGCTGTGACTAACAGCACCCACAGGCAGAGGAAGGTTCCGGAAGCACCGAGGCCCAAACCTGACGCTTTACCCCCAGGTCTCATGGCCAGGGACACGACGGGGATGTATTGCAGCTTGGACACCACGTCTGCAGCCACAGGCCATATTCCCACCGCACGGAGCCGCCGGAGCCAGCATCCACGCACCACGCAGGGCACCCTCCCCACATAAGCAGAGCCTGCGGCCTGGCCCCTGTGTACGGGGCTGCCACGTAACTCACGGAGATCCAAGAAGGAAACAGGCCCGGTATCTAAATTCCCACATTTCAAGCAGACCTGAGAGCAGCCCCTCTGCTTCCGTACTAAGGAGATGCCTGCTCAGACATTGTCCTGCTGACCTCCACCTCAGAAACTCGGGACAGGCCTTCTGGTGCCACAGTCCCAAATGTGAAGGCTCTCGGGGAAGGTTACCACCACCATGGCTTCTTCCCTTCCTGACACCATGTAATTTATAAAAAAGCAGTACAGATGCAGAGCAGAAATATTTGCAAAATTCTTCACACACACAAAAATGGAAATCAAATCAAATATTCACTTCCCAATACAAGAGGGACATGGAGCTTCTAGAGAGGGTCCAGCGTAGAGCCACAATGATTATGGGACTGGAGCATCTATCATAGGAGGAAAGATAGAGTGAGCTGGGCCTGTTTAGCCTGGAAAAGGCTGAGAGGGAATCTGATCAATATGTATAAGTACCTGAGGGGAAAATGTAGGGAGGAAGGGGGGCCAAGCTCTTCTCAGCGGTGGCCAGTGACAGGACAAGGGCCAATGGGTGTAAGATGAAGCCCAGGCAGCTCCATCTCCATGTGAGGGGGAACTTCTTCCCTGTGAGGGTGCCAGAGCCCTGGAACAGGCTGCCCAGGGAGGCTGTGGAGTCTCCTTCCCTGGAGATCTTCCCAACCCGCCTGGATGCCGCCCTGTGCCCCGTGCTCTGGGTGTCCCTGCTGGAGCAGGGGGTTGGACTGGATGGTCTCCAGAGGTCCCTGCCAACCTCAACCACTCTGCGATTGTGTGATTCACATGGAAAAAACACTCTTGCCAGCAGCCACAGGGTACACAGCTCAGTTATTAGTGTTACAACAAAAATATTTTGCACACAGTACCTAATACGATGTAAACATATAAAAACAGGGAAAAAAAACAAAGGAAAAACAAAGTTTGAATGGAACATGAGACACTAAATCTACATTGATAAATACAGTGGGGTAAGGGACGAGCCACTGCACGAGGCCACTGTATCCACAAGGTGGCACTGGCCGCGCACAGCTGAATTAAAGCCGAGTTTGCAGTCCCGCCCACAGAAGGGACTGCACCTGATGTTCCTATTAGACTCTCTCAAATAAAAGCCAAGTGTACTTACTCTTTCAGATTCACAGCACAGATTTTTTTTTAAAAGAAACAGAATGTCTAATCATTTCAGGAAATGTTTGCAACTGAATCGATGCTTTCCTCACCAGACCTATCAATTGCGAAGGTTTTCAAATATGAAAAGAGAATAAATAATGTGCTTCTAACAAGATTAACTGAAGACCAGCCAGCCATATTTCTGCCTTTTCTGTGCAACCTGGAATCAAGTTTATAAAAAAAGTATGTGAAGAGTCACTGTGTATAAAGACTCCTTTGTGCTTGTTCTGTTGATAAGTTTATAATTAATTACTACATGCTTTATAGGGCACTAAAGAGAATTTATGAGTATTTACACCAGTGTTATATCACAAACCCACATTATATAAACCTTCCCTCCATTCTGCTAGTCCTGTCCTCTTTAGTTACAAAGTGCTGACTGTAGATTCCAAGAATCTTTATTGACTGCTGTGATTCACGTCACACCAATTCAAACTTACTTTTAAAGTCAATAAAAACATAACAGTTATGGAAAAGGATTACTTCTCCCCCTCCTCCAGTACAAAGGTTATGTAAAAACATCCAGTCATGCTAATTCTGCTGACCATTCAATTTTACATTTTATTGGCTCTCTGAACACTATGAAACCATGAAAGCAAAGGCGGTTCAAGAACACTATCACACGACACCTCAGAGTAGCTTCTGCATCAGGTAGACACAGATCTCAGGCTGCCATGACACAATCTCATGTTCAGAATACAACCAAAAAAGCCCCTTTGCGTCTAGTCATTTCAGTGTGCCTACCTAACGTGAAAGGAAAGCCTCCCTTTGGCCGTTGCAACTAAAGCTACTATATAAGAAAATTTGCTCTATACAAATTGAAGCTAATGAGAAGCTGTGTTTTTCTTGCTTCAGCATTTTAAAATAATTACATTCACATCACCTTGTGCTGAGCAGAACCCAGGGTATCTGTGCTGAGTGGACACTAGGAATACAAGATAAGCAAGTACTACAAGTTACTAAGCTCTAGGTAGGAAAAAAAAATGAAACAAAGTCATTTCAAAGGGTCAGGCTACATAATCAGGTGCTTTCTGA